CTCCGTGGTGCCCAGCAACAGGACAAGAGGCAATGGGCAGAAACTGAACCACAGGAAGTTCCATCTGAAGCTGAGGAAAAACTTCTTCACTGTGAGGGTGACAGAGCATTGGACCAGGTTGCCCAGAGAGGTGGTGGAGTCTCCTTCCCTGGAGATATTCAAAACCCGTCTGGACGTGATCCTGGGCAATCTGCTCTAGGTGACCCTGCTTGAGCAGGGAGGTTGGACTAGATGATCTCCAGAGGTCCCTTCCAACCTAAACGATTCTGTGATTCCTGCTCCCCACGTGTCATAGTCTGTACTTCTCTGTTGAATATTTGTCTCATTAACCTCTCTTCATGTCTTTCCCGTCTTTCCCTCCATCTGCTTCTGTTGACCTTTCAAAAAATGAGTTGCTAGCTGGCATAGCTTATGAGAAACTCCATAAGGTTTGCGTTTCTTAAAACCACACTCCTGGAACTGTGAATATTTGCTTTTAAAAAAAAAAAAAAAAGCAGTCTTCATGCTTCAAATTAACAAACTTTTGTGAAATGCACTCTACAAATTAAATTACGGCATAGATAAAGGGACCCAAACTGATGCTCATACATTCTTCCAAAAAATTAATTATCTTGGGGTACAGAGCAATTTATTCTGCATTGCTGATGTGCTGACCATAACAATAGCCAGGTTTTGGTCTTTTGGTGTATTTCGTGGCAGATTTTAAATAACTAATAAAAGGCTTAAGCATTTGATCTGCTTCCTGGCTGGTTAGAGAAGAGGTCGGGTTGTCTGTGCGAAATTCGTGATTACGTGTCTAAATTTGCAATCTTTGGGTTCCCGTTGCAATGTTAAAGTGGGGTTCGTCTGAGACTTATTCAAGTTATGTAGTTCGTGTACGTTACGAATGAGATTATGTGGGCAAATGAACGTTACAGAGAGAATATTAAACTCCGCTTTCCCAGCTCATGAGCAGTTTCCCAGCAGTTAGTACATCAAATGAGACAGATGAACTGGGGATGTGGAGACACGGTGCCTGTTCCAAGCCCTGTTAATGACTCCTGTGATCACTAGCTTCTTATGGGAATTGCTACTGCCCTTGCATCTGGGTGTAGTAAGCAATTTAAGGACGTATGGGAGTCCTCTGATAGCCTTGAGCCTGGAAAGGACCTCAAGATTATGTAGCCCAGCATCTGGCAGCTGTTGAGACTCGGCCCTTTTCACCGACTACCCTTTTGAGATGAAATCTGTGTGCATTCATGGCTGTGGGCCCCCTGTTGGGAAACGCTGCTCAGATTATCTCTTTGGTCTAGGTCAAGACCAAGTATGTTCAGACTATCCCTGACAGATCAAAACCCTAAAAAACAAGGGCCACCACTGTCAGAGGAGTAATACTACTTCTGGTGCTACACGCTTTCAAGGCGAGAAAGAACAGTGCTGTTGTTTGAGGGGGGACAAACAAACAAAAACAAGTGCCCTTGAAGCAATGGGGTTCTCATGTTGTAAGACTGATTTGTTATCCATTAACATGGTTAGGGGCAAGTGTGCCATCTGTAAGCTGCATTGCCAGCTTGGTGTGTTACTCCTTGCTGTAAATTTGAGAATGCCTGTTATGTGGTGGTACGGGGCTCTCCGGCTGTTTGTCTGCTCCCTGACCCTGTTGTTTTCCTTCCCAGAGTCAGTAATGATGAATGGTTCCGACGTTGCCAATACAACAACATCCAGCCCCAAAACCAAAGAGGACCAAGTAGTGAATGGCCACGATGAAAAGGAAAACAACCCTTTTGCAGAGTACATGTGGATGGAGAATGAAGAAGACTTCAACAGACAGGTAGGAGGAGAAGAGTGGTAGCCAGCCCCATGTTTCTGAGGCTAAAATTGAGGAGAGGATAAAGGAGAGGAGGTTTCCTTTGATGGTGTTTAAGCACCACAAAAGTGTTGTGAGTCACAGCTGGTGTTGGCCCTGCAAAGAGGGGGTGGCCCTCAGCTAGAGGGCAGTCATGCTGTTTCTGTTGGGCCTGCCTGTAAGGATGTGTGATGAGTAAAGTTAGGGAAAAAAAAATCTTGTGATGCCTTTGGCCCTGTTGAGCCTCTTTCAGAGGGCCAGTGATGGTACTGTTACTTCTTTTTGCACCTTGCAGTGATAACTGAGACATTCACTTTCTGCACGCTCAGCTCAAAGGAGAAAACAAGCACAAAAATCAGTGCCCAAAATTTCAGAGTGTTTGTAGCATTGCTATCTCAGTAATGAGTTCTTACAGTTAGTATCTGCCCTTTCAAGTAGAAGTCTTTCCGTTTAAGCGAAATGGCCCCAAATGTTCTTTGAAGCAGCTTTATTATGGACCACTTGGTAGGAGGCTTGTCCACTAGATGCTGCATCTATTGATAATGTCAGCTAAACTCTCCAGAGTACCTGGTAAATCATGATACAATTTGAACAGCTCTAGCTTGTTGAATGAATACTGTGATGCTGTGTGCTGGAGCAAAGGTAACTCTAGCATAGCATCCTCTCCGTGTCTCTGCTTTGGGCTCGCGTAGGTTTTTGTTCAAATGCCAAGGCAGTGCAAGGTGGCAGGGGTGAGCTTGCTGGAGGCTTGCTGGTTCCTTGCAATCGTTCCTGGAGCTGGAGAGAAGTTAGTCAGCTTCAACGGGTGAGGAAGGAGCTTGCTGCTTCAGCTGGTTGAGCTGCGCTACAAGCAGGAAACCTGCACCCTCGCTCCTGGAGACAGCATGCAGAACGTTTCTCCCTCTCCTGAAACATTCCCACGAACGTGCGCCAAGCGCTGGACTTCCAGACACCAAGGTACTGGGAGATTGGTAGGGAAGGAACACTTTAGCTTAGGGTAGGTTGGACGCAAGGAGGCTGTGTTTCGTGACCCTACCACACCCTTGGTCAGCAAAGGAGAATTTCATCAGCTTTATTAGTGTTCTCAGCAGAAAATCTCCATATGGTAGTACTTAAGTCTGTTCCCACAGGAGGAAACTTCAGCTGCCAGCTCACAGTAACTCCTAGTGAGTATGCAGTAACTGAGTTTTGCCACACCAAATTATGTTAGCAATTGTTAGTGGGCTATGACTCAAGAGTTTTGTTTTTTTTAATGACGTGATTAGGCAGCAGCCAGCCCCCACAAGCAGCTGTGCTGATGGAAATGTGCAAGATTAATTAGTTAATGTTTGTAAAATGCTGTCTTGATTAAAAGTGTGATGAGGCGAAGTGCTGTATTCAGAATGTGATTTGCTGGGCCTTCTCCCTCCTCCTCTCTGCTGGAAGGAAGATTCGGGGGGTGGAGGAGCAGTTAAGACAATGCAAAGGGAGCATGATTAGGCATAATGAGATGGAGAAGGGAAGAAAATGGAGCTGACAGTTGAGGGGTTTCCTGGCACAGAGCTTTAAGGAGCCTGGAGAATAAGATGAAGAGAGGAAACCAGATTGTGCAGTTGAGATACTCACCTGCCTTTTCCTGGTCTGCCAGCTTTTGCTTCTGAAGTTACAGCTCTTCGGAAATGCCATGGGAACGCAACTAGTTGTCCAGGCCCTGTTGTGTCATAGTTGTCTCTGATGTCCCAGTACAATACTGCTTGGGGAAAATAAGTAGCTTTTACAGAAGTTCAAGTTACTCTTTTAAGGGCTTTGAAGCCCACGTGGCAAGGGGTTCCCCTACTAGTGATGTACCAATCAAGCTAGAGAGAGCTTTCCTGCAGCAGGATTTTCATAACGTTTCATAGGCCAGTGCTCCTTCTGAAAGAAGCAGTCACGCTGCCTCTGTCCTTGGTTTGGCAAGACCGTTTATGTGGCTCTGCAGTGCCTAGTTTGAGAAGCTGCTCTGGGTCAAAGCTAACATGAGCTCGCATGAGAGGATGTGATGCAGGTGATGGGAGCAAGTGGTCAGGAGACAGCAGGCACAAGCCTTTCTGTGGTAGTGCTGGCTTTGCCACCTTTAAGTATGTGCCACAGTGACGTGGGGCAGCCTGGTACTGGATTGACTTAAATTCTGGAGCTGAAGCTTTTCTCAAATCTGCTTTCTTTTCACTTCTCAACAGCTTTCTGAAGTCATGCTTCTTCCTCACCTCCTTCACAAGGGTTTCCTTAGTTCAAGCACTGGGGAAGTGGAGCAGGCAGGTGTTTTCAAAAACCCATGGGCTTCTTGGCACAGTCCTCCATTATTTATGCTAGCAAAATTCCTTTTCCCGTGGAGCCAGCACATCGCAGAGGGCAAAAAAGGGAGTGGTGGGCTCTTGCCATAAAAAGAAACTGAGCTGACACCAGATGAGGCTGATGCTGCTGCAGAATCTCTAGAATAACCTGTAGTGGGAGGTGACAGCTGTATTAAATGTTACAGTAGGCTAAAGAAAAGCTCAGAGCAAATTGTAAACCCTTTATCTGCTAGTTCAGGTTGTCATGATGTAGTGATAAGGGGCCTGATGCTTTCTTAGTAGAGATATAGCAGCTAGATAAAGGTGCGAGTTTGTCTAGGATCTCTCCTTCCCTGCCCCCTGGTCCAGGACTAGCACTGTCGCTGCCTCCCCTGGCTTTGTGCATGAAGCATTGCCCCTAACGGCCAGTTGCACGTGCGGAAATGATTCTAGTGTGGAAGAACCGAGGTGCTATCTGAACCTGTTAGTATACAGCTGGCAGCTCTGCAACTCAGGGAAGGAATATTCATCTTTGCTTGAAATATTCTCTGATACGTAAAACTGACTCCAGCTGGCTCCGTCCCTTTTTAGCATGGTCACTGTCGTTGGCTGAGGCCTGGCCTGTGTAGGCTCCTGAGCAAGGTGAGCAAGCCAGCAGTCTTGGACAGGCAGAATATGTGCAGGAAGCATAGTAACACTGCACGATGGGGGTAGGAGAAACTAGTGGGCTGATCTAAGAATAAAATATTCAAGGGAGGGCTGTTCTGGATTGCAGCCACATCACTGATGATGGGAAAATTGGGCTTGGAAAAACTGTTGTTTCCCTGTGAGATACCGTGCAACCATGTGAAAGGACCTGGAGCAACTCCAGCCGGGAGGTGCGAGCATGGGGACCGCTTCGGTTCCCTGGCATTGGGAGCAGTGTCAGTGGCTCCAGGCACAAATCATGTGCATGGAAGGCCGTGCAGCAGCAAATGGAGCTGCTGAATGAAGTGTGACAAATATCTGAGATGCTTTTGCTTTGCTGAGCTTTTTGCAGATCATGGGAATATAGGAGCTGTAAGATCACATACATAAGGCTTTTTTTTTTTTTTTTTGGTAATATCCTGTCTTTGTGAGCTAGTGTCAGAATGTGCTTCCAAGAACAGTCACTAGAAACCCAGCTGAGGATAATTACGGGATGATTTGCTAGTGGCAAAGGAGATTTTCCCCACCCAGAACTGATTTTGAAGGCTTATAGAGAAACCTTCTCCAGTAGTTCAGGTTGGAGATGACCTTCAAGATATCAGACTACTCTGGTTACCTAGTGAGAGAGCTTTTAAAAACCCTCACAGGAAACTTGCCCCAGTTCTATAAACTCACTCTTTAACTCTTCATTTAGCATTTCGGGCAAGATCAGTCTTTAAGCCTGTTTTTGCTCTGGGCTTAGGCTGAGTTTGGCATGGTCTGTGCCGTGCTTCCAACCTAGGTTTCTGGTTTGCATTTGCAAAGGTTTGTGTTAGCATTGCAAAGCCAAAGATCTTTCCTCCTGTGATGCGGCGAACGCTTCTCTTTCCTTTTGGCTTAGCACAAGTCCAAGGTCCTGCGTGAGGCAGAGGGGTGAGCTGCTTCGCTTCTCCACTGAGACTGATCCTCCTCTGCTCAGTCTAGGACTCCTTATGAAAGAGCTCGGCAAGCAAAGCTGTGTGGCTCTGCGGTAATTGGAAAGGAGGGTCTGGAGCCTAGCTAACGATGAGGTAATGAAGGAGCAATGCTTCGCCTTGGGATGCTGCTGCACTTGCTGGAAACAGCCTGCTAGGGGAGGGAAGCCAGGAACTGAAATCGGTTGGAAGTGAGAAGTGTCGGGACTTTTTCTCTGGTGCTGGCAGGGATGTCTGGCTCTGCTCCAGTCCGTGTGTTGGAGCACTGGGCACTGAAGGTAGGAAGCACTGCTTGACAAGCCCAGAGAAGCATCTGCCGTGCGGACCTTGAGCAGAAAGGTGAAGTTGCTTTGGAAGATTTTGGGGAAAAAAGGCAACTATACGGTATCGATGTGTCAGCTGCAGTTGGCTTGGAGTAGTGCGCATAGGCTGCACGGCAGAGGCCTGAGGTCAGGAGGGATTTGGATAAAAAGGGAGCATTTGGGGGCGTTTGGAAGGCTGGTCCACGAGCATAACAGGAAGGAGCAAACTGGTGCTGAGGGAGGGAAGAGGACATGGTACTGATTTTTGGAGGCAAGTGTCTGCTTGAGCCAAGATGGATATGGGATTTTGAATGATCCCAAAGCACTTCCAGGTGGAAAGCCATATAACAAAGGGAGAGCTCTAACTGATTTGACTGATTTTAGCCTAAAGCACAGACTCTCTGAACCAGGGAACAAACCACACAGGGGAAGTGCATTTTCTGATACAATTTGGTGGTTCTGGGTATAGCTGAAAACACAACGATGACAAGCTGTGAATAATCTGTGGCATCCCAGTCATGAAAGATTACAATGCGGTGAGTTTAACAGGGCTGCCTTCCCAGCCCGTTTCTTACGGGCAGCATCTCTGTGTGCGTGTCCTGGCACGGTGCAGCAGTTCCTTTGGTAGCTTGTTGGTGGCAAGGAGTTTCCGTCCCCTATGTCAGGAGTTGAGGAGCTGTGTTAGGTGTTGTGGTGGATTACGGAGCTTATCTTTTTCCTCCAGGAAACCAGTTTCCTGATTTCTTCTCTTTAAACGGAAGGTTTTAAGCTTATTAAAGCATTTTGTGGTGCAAGGATTCACTCAGCCCTTTTGGACTAAATATCTATGCCCTTCTGGCAAGAAATTGGTATTGATGACCCACTGAGCTCTTCTAGGCCTGTATTTCTAAAGGCTGGATCAGCAGCTCAAAATCCTACCGTTTCCTGGCTGTTACCTGGTTTGTTCGTTTTCTAGTGACCAAGTGCCAGTTTAGCATAAGGCCGACAGCAGCAACGACTTGTCGGCTGACCCACTTCACAGGCTCACTTATTTTGCTCAGACGTGTGAGTGGCTAGAGAAAATCAGACAGGAAGATGAGACTGGCAAGTTAAAATGACTATATGTGCTCGTGGGTAAATATAGGACCTAATCGGCCAGCCCCCTCAGCTATCTCCCCTGTTCAGTTTGTCAGAGTCCTTCCTGACCATCTCTGTCCCCCTTCCTTTGCCTCTGCTCTCGTGCCTTAGTAGCTTGCTGCTCTGGGACTCAAAGGCAAGTCCTCTGGGTTTACTTGGACTCTCTTGCAGCGGAGATGGAGTAATTCTCTGCGCTCGACGGGGGTTGACTGCCACCCTGTGTCGGTATGCGTAGAAGCACCTAACATTGCTCTTGGGAGGTGGCTGAGCAAACTCATCACCCACACGGTGCTCCGGATGGAGCCTGTGCAGAAGCTGCTCTCCTTCCCTCTGTCCTCTGCAGTTCAGATGGCGGTGGGAGCTGCCTCTCTGTGCCGTCGCACAGTGACAATCAGGCTGGGAGCTGCCTCTGCTCTTGGTGTGTCCACTTTCATGCACAGCAGGGCGTGTTAATGTTTTGTTTATGTGGGCTTTCCTAATCTGGTGCAAACGAGCTACTTCAGAGAGGCTGTATGCTGTTCTTGCCTAAGGTGGTACCAACTGACAGCTCTGCTGCTTCTCCCGTGGTACCTGGCAGAAGCTTGCAAATACTTGCTCAGTAAACTTTCCGGTCTGATCAGTGGGGAATCTGGCCTGCACTGAGTTTCTGGTGCTCGGCTTCTTTGAGGAAGGGAATTGGTCAGCTCCGTAGGTCACCTGGGTGAATCCCACGGGACAGATGCTCAACCTAAATGAGCTTGCTGGAGAGTAAAACATGAATTCTAGAAGCCTCGTTCTTCTGCTTCCCATGTTGTTGAACTTCATTGCCAAACTATTTCACTGCAGCACTCGGTATCTTGCGGCACTGTAGTGTTTTTGAGCCGTGATGCTTACTGAACTGCAGACACACAGGAAGCAAGTAAAGAAAGTACCGCTAGCATAGTTATAACACCGCTCTGAGCCTCACCAACGTTGGACTCTGTACCAGAGGCTGCTCCATGCCACAACACAGGCTTGCCAGTCGGGATTTTATGAGTAATCCCACCCGTTCTGCAGCAAGCTCTGCTGCAATATGGCATCCTGTGGAGTCCTGCACGCATGCTGGCTTATTCAGATGTCGTGTAAATACTACCCCATTCACGTCTGGATTCACCTGACGCAGTACGCTTGCAGGTTACCACAGCTCCTCCTCCTTCCTAGCAGTCAACAGTGGCCAAGAAGCAATGTCTGGACAAGGCTTTGCTTTAGCTACTTGAAAGCAAAGGTACCAATTTTTGATGCTTTTGCCTCCTGGGAATAGTTACAGGCATCTCAGCCATGCTGGTTTGATTTTTTTTTTTTTCTTTTTTCCCCAGACCGTGATGTGTTCATCCAACTTTAAAATACAGCCTTGACTATATTGTGGTCGTTCTGCTTTTATGTGGTAGGAGACAGCATATGGAAAACATGAAGATGCATAGTTTGTACCTTGTACTTGATAGTTCTGTTTGGGCAGGTGGAGGAAGAGCTGCAGGAGCAGGAGTTCCTTGACCGCTGTTTCCAGGAGATGCTGGATGAAGAAGACCAGGACTGGTTCATTCCATCACGCGACCTGCCCCAGGGCATTGGGCAACTGCAGCAACAGCTGAATGGGCTGTCCGTTGGCGATGGTCACAGTTCAGAGGACATTCTGGTAAGGACCTCGGAGAACTTGCTGGTGAAGAGCAGAGTACTTGTCCTTGGAAGTAGGGAAGGGGGCAGAATATCTCTTGGAATTTTAGGGTTTCCGTGCAAGAGCTGATTATAATTCATTAGTGACAATGCATAATGCATTTTGGAGTTCTCTGCAAGGATACTCTTTGTATTACTGTATCCTAAAGACAGAAATAAGTGTGCTAGCTCTGTAAAATTTACTCTCTAGAAGTCATGGGAACGGGACTGCTGCGTGCGCATGGGCAGGTTGGGCTTTGGCCAACCCAGAGCAAACTGGGACCTCTTTTGACTTTTGGGCAGAGTTGGGGTGTCCTGGAGGAACAGAAGTGTTAAGGAGATGTCTGTTTTCACCCTTGAAAACAGGAGTGTACTGCAGGGCTGGGGAGGGCTACGTGGACCAGCACGTTGGAGGCTGGTGGTCTAGTCCAGCACTGCTGACTGTGTTCAGGCAGAGTTGCTTTACCTCTCTCTGCCATGGGTGGTGATAAAATGTAGCTGTTTGCACCTTGCAGCCAGTCTGTCAACTGTTCTGCTGATTCAAGAACAAAGAGAAAGAGACAGGATTCTCACATGTTGATCCTCCAAAGCCCCTCTTAGAACTAGATAACTTTTGAGTTGTCACCTGTTAAACAGCATCTTGCGTCGTGAGGATGGACTGTGGAGAACCTGCAGGGATGCAAGGGCCAGGGTGGCTGCTTTGCATACCTGGAAATCTGTGACCGCCTCCATTGCAAACAGCTACCAGGATGGGGCAGATATCTTTAGTGGAGGGCACGTGCAGGTCTACGGTGTGAGTGGTGCTTGGCAGGCAGTGTGTGCGCAGGTATTTCTGACCGCTAATGGGCCCTACTCCCTCTTCTCTTGCAGAGCAAAAGCAACTTGAATCCAGATGCCAAGGAGTTTGTGCCTGGTGTGAAGTACTGACCTTCAAGACAGGCTTTGGAAAGACTGTGTCCCTGGCTCCATTGGTGGGGAAGGTGGCAAGGAGGAGCAGGGAGGGAAGGGAGGGGATCCGCCCACCAGCTGGACTCTGCGCCGTAGCAGAGTTGCTGCAACATGGCGAAATCTTGCTCTACGCTTCAAGTACCGTTTTTGAGGGTTTGGGTTTTTTTGTATTTTTTTTTTGTTTTTTACTCTCTTTTTATCGTCTATCACTTTTTGGCAGTTTTTGCTTTCTAGGACTTGTGGCCCTTAGGTCTGTCCTGGAGTCCAGCACTCCTTCTGCTTCAGAGGCCGATTTTGATGCGTGCTTCAAACCTGCTAGTGAAGAAGTCATGTTTTCTTGTTTAAGTAGATTTTGTAGGGATCCCCCTGCCTGCCTGCTCCCATCTCAGATGCAGCGAGCCAGGAAGGACAGGACCTGGGCAAGGAGCCACGCTAGCTTTTCGTAATTCCATTAAATGGAATTCCTTTAGATAAAGGAAAGGAGAAGTGTAACAAGACCATAAGCCCCAAGTTCCTCCAAGCAGAGTGCATCAGCTCTCTGATAAGTGCTGAACGCTAATTTATATGCTGCTTTGCTGATAGGTGGAAGAGTCCTGCCTGCTTTAATTGGTTGTGGGAGTTCTTGCACTGGGGGAGACCAGACCCGTTAGATGCTAGCCCCCACCATCCTTCCTAGGGGAGGTTTCTTCTACAAAATACATGTTGCCCTTAAAGAATTTTTTCCCTGACTCTTGGGCTTATCTGGCATTAAAGCCTATGGCTCTGAAGCATCTGTGACTTCATTTCTTACTGAAATAGTTTAAATAAATCCAAGAGAAACTGAATATAGCCTGTTCTCAGCCACGTTGCAAAGTGCATCAGTGGGGAGTTAGTTTTAAGCAGCTTCTCTGGAAAAGGAGAGGAATCTTCTGTCCCTTGGCAAGCTCTGAGGGTTCCTGCCTCAAATGGGCTCACATGTTATGAGACCCTTTTCCCATCCCTCACTGCCCTTTGGAAAGCAGGTTCCCTCCTTGGAAATGTCTTTCTCTTGGTTGAGAGAGGGCTGAGACTATTCTTTCTCCAGAGAGCTGCAGAGTGGAGGAGGAGAGGACAGTCATACTGACATCCTACCTGTTACCGCACCCTCTGCAGGAGCCTGCCTTCTTCCAGGGCGGTGCTCCCTGAATGCGGAGACTAAGGAGCCCCCTTCAACCGGGAGTTTCCTCTCTGGAACAGCTTGTGTGGGGTGGGGTAAGAGCAAATCCACTTTGATCTGTCCCTTATGGACTTGCTGGTGAGCAAGACGATTCTGAATCCCAGGAGTGTGCCCACAAACATAAATAGAGAAAGAGATTTTCGGGAGGTGACAGCCATCATTTTGTCCTGGTCTCCTAAATGCCATGTGTGAGGAACTCCACTGGTGCGTGTCTTTTAGGTCAAGCCTGCCACAGAAGCAGCTGCCCAGCACTTTGGTGTCACCTGGTGAACGGCATCCATGCCTCTTTTCCTGTGAGCCTGCTCTGGGATCTCTTTCTCCATCAGCAAGAGCTGGCAGTAGCCAGGCTTCAGCTCCCCACACCACAGCCCCCTGCACTCCTGATATTTTAAATCATGTTCTTAGTGGATTTCTTCTTTGGAGAACCAGGGCCAGAAAACTTTACCAAGAGGAACCATGTGGTTCTTGGTAAGGTCTATACCCTAACGTAAGCTTTTTATTTTTACTGCACTCTAGTAACGCTATGTGAGTTTTTGTTATTCTGCATAGATCTCACCTGCCAGGTGCACTTTTTTATAGTATTCCCTTTATTTAAATAGACTAGTTAATTGATGGGGATTACAGATCCCTTTGAGATTTGCAGAGATGGAAGCTAATGGCCGTTCAGTAGCTGCTTACTGACCTCTTGGTCTGTCTCTGCTAGCTCAGCATGGAAAAGCCTGCAGCTGCGGTTCTTTCGCTCTGGTTCCCACCTTGGTAAGCTCAGCAGAAGGGCCCAGGGTTACAAGGACCACAAACACTAACGATGCTCTGGAGGACAGATCTGAATTGATTTAACTCGGTTGCTCTCTGTATAGTCTAGTCTGTAATTCAACAGAACATCGGTCTCTGGCTGTCAATCTTAAAACCAGCACTAAACTCTTAGAAGCTTTCCACAGCAGCTGAAGCCAGAGTCAGAAGCCTGTTGAAGGTATCTATCTAAATATTGTTGCCTGGGGGTATTGGTTGATTTGTATTATATTCTTCTGGTTTTCAGTACAATCCGTGCCTTCAGCACCTGCTTAGTTGCCTCTAGCCTCTGGCTATCAGAGGCTTCCCTCTCTCTCTGGGGCCAGAGGACATATTGCACTAAGTATTTTGCAGCAGATAAACTGCAGTATAAAAGCAGAAGGTGTTCAAACTCCACAGCTCTGCTCCAGACTGTTGTGAGGCTAGCTAGAGTCGAGGCCATGCTACAGCGCTGCACGGGGCTGTGTGAGGAAGGGCAGTATACTCTGGTCAAACTTCTTTTGTATGGGTAGTTCCTTCTTTCCCCCCAGCTTCTCTGGTTTCTATTTGATCTCTTACAAAAAGAGCCCTCTGATGACATGCTGTAAATTTCAGACAATGCATTATTAAAAATAAACTTTTTTTTTTGAGTTCAGCAGTGCAGAAATTTTTCCTTGAGGATGGGTAAGCTCTTCATTCAACAACATCTCCATCAAATGTCGCAGTCCCAGCAGGAAGCTCTTCGCCTTAGTCAGGAGTGCCAGCCAAGCAGCACACGTCTCTGTGGCTGGGGCCACATGGACCTCTGTGCTCAAGGGTCTGCCTCTAGTGATGAGCAAACACAATAACTACATCCACAGTAGTGGCAAGCATGCTTGCCACTTGAAAATTAGATCGCTCGGCTGGAGCTAGGTTGAGTGTGTGCCTAGGATTTGCTGTGCTTGAATCAAGTTCAGAGGCAGCTTGAAACTCTCGGAGGACTTTTCTTTAGCTCCTCACCACTGCCTCCCCCCCTAAAAGACACGTGGTGTGTTTCCATCCCCCTTTGATCTGCTGAGGCGCCTTCTCCGCTCTGATCTGCGAGTGCTGGCCTCCAGCATCCTCTGCCGGAGGCCAGAGCTCTCCTTAGAGCTGCCAGCGTGGAGGCTGAAACGAATGGAGAAGGAAATAGCTCTAGTTTATGCTGGGTCAGGAACTTGGCACCAAAGGGGGAGTGGGGGGAAGCATCGTTTCTGAAAGCTGGGGGTGATGGCTCCCAGCATCAAAGCCCTGGGTGGAGCCTGCTGCCGTTCAGCACTTCTGACAGCCATGCTCTTCTGACCTGGGCAGCTCACGAGCAATGCAGGAGAGCTTGGTGAGGAGGCAGGAAAGGGGCAAAACTTAAAAGGAGAGAAAAGCAGCCAGAGCTGATAGGAGGAAGCTGCCTGGGAGGAGGTGGAGCAGGGAGTTACATTCCTATAGCGATCATTTAGAGGTTGAATTATTAAATCCGTAGCTGGATTTTGACCAGGAGACGGGCATGTTCAGCTGGACGTGCTCTCTGCTCCACAGCTGCTCCAGCAAAACACAGGATACTGCTGATCTGACTCCCAGGCCCGCAGGTCTGTCCTGCTGGTGAAGGAGGAGAGGAGGAGCTGCGGAGACACCTCCGCAGCGTGTGCTGGTGGAGCAGCGCGTTTGCTAGGCACCGAGCAGCCTGCCTCAACGTGGGTGAACCCCGAACACCAGCCCTGTTTAGCATCAGAACTACTCACCGGTCGAAAGACCCGTACTTTCCATCCACGTTGAACAGGCTCATTTCTCCCTGGGCCTGTTAAAATCCGTAGCAACGTGCTGTGGGATTCGGGTGACAAGTTGGCAACCTCCAGGCCGGCAGTTTTTGAGCTACGTGGCCGGCTTTCTTGTGGCTGCCGCGGTTGCTGGCCCGGGGGGCATGGAGGGCAGGACCGTCTCGGCGCCCTGGGGCTCAGGTGCGGGAAGAGAGCTGGAGCGTGCTGAAGTCCTGCGAGGGAAGATGGAGAAAAATCCCCCTTTCCGCGGTAAGCGGTGGCTCTGGGCTGCTGCGTCCCCGATGGAGGGTCGGACCTGCGGAGCGCGGCGGCAGCAGCGCTCGAAAAACCCCCCGGCGTAAGCCATGGCGGGAGCTCGCCACGCTGGAGCTGAACATCTGCCAGCTGAGCTCTTCCTTATTATGCGCTTTCCAGCCTAGATTGGGGGTTTTTTGTTTTTTTGTTTTTTTGTTTTTTTTTTTTGAGGGCAGCTAACCGGAAGCAGAGAAAAGGCTGATGAAAACCAAGTCAGATCCTCCCCTTGTGCTTGTTGCAGGCTACCAGGGACGAGGTTCACCCTGCGTCCAGCCACGGGTTCCTGCGCTTATGCTGGACAACCTGAGCTCAGAGCTGCCAGCGCTAAGGTGTCGCTTGTGGGCTTAACGTGCTGCAATCCCAGGACCTGCTGGCAGGACCAGCGCTGACTCTGTGCTCCAGGGCTCTAAACTCACGTCCTTCCTCCTCCTCGTTACAAGCAGCTCCTTGTTCCTCTTCTTCTTCTGCTCAGCCACCGAGACGGAGCCGGTGCTGTCCTGAGCAGGGAGGACATGGCAGGGACGGGGCCCTCCCTGCCTGTGTCGGTGGGCTCTGGTTTCTTCTGCCCACGTACAGCTTTCTCCCTGTCCGCTCTCACTAGCTGCTTGCAAGCTGCCGCGATCAGGAATTGCATTTCCAGGGGAGGCAACGTTGCGTGCAGCACCCACAGCATCGTATCGCCCCGAGCCGCCAGGCGCTGCCCAGGAGAGACGGCTTTGAACGGCACAGCCTTTTATTGATGAATTATGAAACGTATGCCTACAAAAAATCTTGACACTTGTTACGGAAACAGTGTTTCCGAGGAGCAGAGCCTCACGCAGGTATAGCAGCAAAATTATTTATTTATTTATTTATTGGCAGTACAGCAAAGCAACAGCTCGAGCTGGGTACCTCCAAGGAGGGACACCGATCAAAGAAATTCTGGGGTAATTATACCCTTTACAGTCCTATTTCCCCGCCTGCCAGTGAAGGTCTCCTCCAACCTTCTTTACTGAGTCAGTGGTCTCTCTCCTTCTGATTGGTCTTGGCCTACATCCCAGGTCTTCCACAGTCCCTTACCTTCTCGAAGGTCAACTGCAACCCAGGTGCATCTCGTCTCCTGCATCCTGTCTTGTATCCTCTTTAGCTGGTTTTATCGGGTTTTGCTGTTACATCGTCGGCAACGTTTCCCGAGTTCATCAGCAGCTCGGCCTTGAGGCCTGCAGGCTTCATCTACTGCAGACACTAGTGCTAAGTAGACATATGCTAAGCTGCAGGCAAAGCACTTACGATCTCCTTCTCTAACACGTGCGGCATGCACGCCATCGTACCGCCCCGAGACGCCAGGCGCTGCCTGGGAGAGACGACTGTGACCCCTCCTCCCCTTCCAACGGCACAGCCTTTTATTGATGAATTATGAAACAGGAGGGTACAAAAACGCTTGACACCGCCTCGCGCCAAGAGGCTCGCCTTGTCGCGAGGAGATGCACGTCAGGAACCACAACACGCTATTAACAAGACTAAAAGACGCTGCGGCTGCTCTGAGCCCCAGCAGCGCGGGGCCGGGCTGCCCGCGGGCTGGGCTAGAAGGAGTGGATGTAGAAGATGTCCACGTTGCTGGCGTAGTCTAAGGGCAGAGCCTGGCCAATGTTTTTAGCACCTAAGCTGGCTCCCCCCAGAGCTGACGAGTGCTTCAGCTTCAAGAGGCTGAACCTGGAGAAGATGTGGTCGGGGCACTCCTTCCTGGCCTGCTGCAGCACCCGGATGAACCCTAGGAGAGGTGGGAAGGAGGTTATGGGGACAGCAGGACCCGCTAGCACCCCGGCTCCTGGGAGGACCTTCTTCCAGGAGACAGGGAGGTCAGGAGCACAGCTAGGGCGTTGGTGGCCATGAGGACTCAAAGGGAGTCTTCACCCCCTTCTTCCTCCAAAGAGCTCTGCATCATGAACCCTGCTGGGCTTCCCTGCTCGTGCTGCGGGGAAACAGAGGCACGAG